GGGGGGGGGGGGGGGTGTAAGGATAGTGCTGCACTGAAGTCATTGGTTTAATCATTGAATCATTGATCATATTCTTTTACCCTTGAGGAGGCAAAGAGGTGGTTTTACTTGAGAAGCCAACCAAGAGCAAGAACACAGAAACTTCAAAGGGCTGCTACAGAGAAACCTGTTCTTATGTATTTCTAGAAATAACTTCTTCACCTGTGATATAAAGACAGTTTAGTCTCACAATCAACAGAGCAAAATCAGAATCAATACACGCCTTTCTTTGAAAATATGATCATCAGATTCCCATGGTCCTTCGGTAAGTACAAGTTATATAAGCCAGGATAACTGGAGATCTTCTGGATGGACAAAGCAAATCTCTGCACAATAGATATTTGGTCTATACTTCCTTCTGCTAGTGATGACCATGTCTACCTCAAGAATTACTGCAGAGGAATATATTGTGACATAGCAAACTAAGCATCAGAACGAATCGAAAACTAGAACACGGAAATTTCAGCTCAGTCGAACTATCAGCTAAACCAAGTACATGCTAGAATTCCAAACAAGAAGGCTAAAGTTCTCTCTTTTTGATGTTTGATGCCCAAGAATAACTCTTTCACCTATTGCAGAGAGGAATTAAGCAAACCCGGGTTAGCTGATCTGAACTCTATCTGTTAGGCCAAGCAAGGAATCAGATCCATCATCATGCGGGCATAATACATACCTGTGTATTCCCAAATTTAACAAGCAAAAGCAACATCTGTAAGTAGATTAATTCATAGCACAGGGTATAATCCCTATCATCAGAAGACATCATCACTCCTCCAACATCTCGTCAGTAACTGAAATCACTCATCTTAAGCATATTCCCATTGTGGAAAATCTCCTTAACACCCCATAAAAACAGGAATATAAAACATCATAGAGATCTGTGAGAACCCGAATGCAGAATCAAAATATTGATCACCAAAAACTTCCATTTCATCATAATCTAATCCGAATCACAAGTAATAGACGCGCCCGTATAACATTCTCGCATCACCCTCGTCTTCCAATACCAATTACAACAGAATAACCACGTTTAAAACTACAACAAACACAACTTCTGCCCAGTAACCTAACGAGTAAAAGCATACAGGACAAGAGAAGCATAGATCAAGAGAGCAGAAGGGACCAATATCAGGAGAGGTATGACGGCGGCATAAGCATGTCCACTTCCACAGGCCAAAGTTCCAACCTTGATCTGAACGACATTAACAAGAGCCATCATGAGAAACCCACATCCACAAACCGAGCCCACACCCGAAACCAGCATGCCCAACCGAAGAACCGACTTGTTGACGTAGTAGACCACGGGCTCGAGCCTTGTCGGGACGTGAAACGACGCCGTGATGTTGAGGCGTATGGCCTGCTTGAGACCCAGAGCGATGAGGCTGGAGAAGAGGAACGAAGCGAAGGAGTAGACATGGAAGGCAACGAGATCTTCCGCCATTCGCGATGTCGGGTTGCAGTTAGGGTCGGACACCAGGCTGTTAGACGGGTCGCGAGGGTTCCAAGCGAGTCCGATGAAGACTGCGAGAGTGAAGAGCGAGTTCACGTTAACAACGCCGTCTAGGGCCGTGATGTGGATACTCGTCGCCATGCTAATATTCTCCGGCGGCCGTGACGACGGATCCGGCGGAGAGATTCGTTCCGGAGGAGTGAAGGAAGCTCACGCGCCAGAAGAAGCGCGAGTGAACCAAAAATAGCAACACTTTAGTATACAGTGATTTCGTCTGGTTTTCATATTAAACAATGAGGGGAAAAGTTGGGATTTTTGAAAATCTTGGGCCGCAAAAAGATAAAGTTGGAAACTTGGGGCAAAAAGGAAATAAAATAAAAACATTTCATCTGATCCATAACTTTGGTTAATAATGTGGTCGCCTATATTTTTACCAAACGAGTAATTGTCATCTTTGCATTGTCAATGAAGAAACCAATCCGTAGAGATTTGGTGAAATTGGTGGTTGTGATCTTAACCTTTCTGCCCCTTCGGTTCAGTTCGGTTAAATTACATTCAGCTTGCAATTGTAGACTGTACCAAACCGGTTTCAGAAAGAGAAACTTTCAACTCTTACCACAGCCTTAACAGTGTAAGTGAAACCCAAACAAATCAACAATCTCTACATAAGTTACACTTTACATTCTACTAACTTTCTTGTTGGCTACTCAGCCGTTTCTTGTACTCTTTCTTCGTTGGAAACCTCAGAATAGACATTATGTTTGGGGTATCAGCTTTGATGAACTGATGAATGAACTTTTGGCTTTGAACGTTCTCTGCCATTGTTGTTTGCCACCGAATATGGAGTTTCGGTTGCATTTCCGCATATTTTTGGTTTGGACTCGACTCCGAGATAATTGGTCAATACCCTTCTAACCCCAAACCCGCGATGTGGAAGCTTGTCGTTGTTCTTGCTGGAGAAATAAGGACCTTTCTCTCCTCTTAAAGGGCTAATCAATAATGGAGCTCTCATGGGAGAGAAGGTTGTTTTGTAAGGAGTGCCTGAAGAAGGCACACAGTATGGGATCGTCACCTGCTTCTGAGCTATAGCTTTGTAATCCGAATTCCTTGTTAAGCTGTCCACGTAGAGCAAGTCATCGATACGTGCAACGATATTGTATGCCAAGCTCTCTAGAGCTCTTGAATAGCTTTCAAGGATCGATTTTCCAATGTCCTGAAAAATTAAAAGACAGAATACTGAGGAAAGCCCTTCCGTGGAACCAATATGGCATCTGAAAGAAATGTATCTATGCATCCATGCATGTACGTATGTATGCATGCATGCATATGAAGGCGTATATCGGCTTGCCATGTATACTTGTATAGCACCATATATGCATCTATCTCTGCAAAACAAGAATGTCCATAAGAATGTATCAGAGGTGATTCATCAAAGATCAAACCTTGTTGTATTGAATCTTGCTAATGTCGAGAGCAGTTTGGGTTAAAGCAGGGAATCGCTGCTTCAAGCAAAGCAAGAGCCTTTCCGCTCTTTCCACGAGGACTTCCCTTTTGTCACCATCCACCATTAGATCTTTAACCATTTCCCATGATAACTTCGGAGTAGAATTCGAAGGATTGTTAACTCTTCGCTTCCAGACGTATATTGAAGCTTCGACCCGGTTTGCGATATCTAGAGCGACGTGTTCAGAGGATAGATCAAGGCAATCAAGAAGAAACTCGGGGGAAAACTGATCAGACGTCACATATCTGTAGATAACTTCTCCAAGACAGGATCTTCCATTCTACAAAACCCAGGAACTCGATGTCAGAAACATAGCTTCTCTAAGACCTTTTGTTGGAAAAGATGGTTCGGTTTTAAAGAGCATACCTTTGGAAGGCCTTCAAGGTATGATTCAGGAATGTCCATTTCGGACAAGGAAGTGCTGTTAATGGCCATTGCAGCTTTCAGTATCTGTGTAACGCATTCACGCATATGATTCAATTCAATTCTCGTGTTCTCGCTCAGGCCATCGGGAGGCAATCTTGGCACAGGCAACCACCATTTATCTCCTTGACGTTGAATCGCTCTGTGGAAAGAAGCTGAACCATCGGTTTCTGAAGCTACAATCCCTTGATCAACATACCAGAACTCGGTTGCCTGAAACTTATCCAGTATCTCCTGCATAACAAAATGGATTTGAATTCAAAAGATTTAACCTTTAAACCATAGTGTGATGCACCATGAGTAAAGTTACTCGAATTCTCACGAGAAGAAGGGCGTCTAGTTTACAGAGAGCCGGGAGATTGATGAAGATATCTGATCTTGGGCTACAAGTCATGACCTGAAGACACAATACCTTAATCAATGTTCACATAGACTCCAATTATTACAAGACCCAAACACAGGAACCAAACATGAACTACCTCAAGCTTTTTCCCATCATGGGAAAATTGGGTAGAAGGTGTCAGTTCCACAATGTGATCACAGACACTGAGAAGCCACTCCATTTCCCTTCTCCACATTGCCTTTTTCTCTCTGGGCAGAGGCTCTAATCTCCATAGTTGCCCGAAAACCGTAGCTGAATATAATCCGAGTAGAAGAACATTAAAATTTGTAGAATGATTTGAGTTATAAGGTTCAGACATTTTCACGAACACATGATATGATAGTTTTTACCACAGAGATTGGTAATGGCGTTGGAGATGGCTAAAGCCGTGCAAACGCCTTTGCCAGAACCTGACATGTCTTCACCAAGCAGTAACTTTGCGAATCTCTCTTTCATCATATCCACCTCTGGCTCATACAAAAAAGTCAAAGCACAGGGATTTTAGAGAAATTTTCCAACTTGAATTTTGAAATTTGAAAACCCAGTAAAGCAAAACAACTCCAAAAAAAAGGGCGATCTTTTTTTTCCCTTCGTTTTCTCGGCAACCAAACAGGTCACTGACCTGAAATACTGATCTGCTTTTTTTCAAACCCGGAATCAGCAAAAGGGTTAGATTTCTTCTCGTTTCTTTTCCCATTTTCCGTCGAGTTCTTCCTCAAAGCAGCTTTCCTAATCGGCCAACCCAGAAGCTGGGGCGGCGGATGTGGAGAAGAAGCGCCACCGGAACTCTCGCAATTCGACCCACTCGAGCTTCTGCTCTCCCTAGACTTGTCCGCTGACTCGGTCACCGAGTGAGTCCCACCATTTCTTTTCTTCTCGTTTCCTGCGCAGCTCTTCGCCAAATTCTCCATTCTCAACCGATTCGAGCGTAAAATTACGGGTTTTTGAACAGACCCAGAAGAATTCAGAGATCCAGACAAGCCAAGATCATCTTTTCATAGTTGAAAAGTCATAATCTTGCCTAGGAAAGGAGGCTCTGTTTCTTTCACTCTGTCACTCCCACACTGAAACAGGAAGGGTATATATTTGACTTCAGCAAACTAGCTTTTGGCGGACGGATTCTCTCTCGTAGAGTAAATTACCATTTTGCCCATGGAGTTAATTTGAAAAGTACGACAACTAACGTTGAGTACGCCTAGCTAATTTGTTAGTTTCAATGAGATAATTACAAGGCAATAATGAGGAACATTAAATTAAAGAGGCGAGTGGGGCTTACAAAACTCAATGTCTGGAGGAATTATATAATTTATATATTTAAGCTTTTCTCTTTGAATATCTTTTATTAATTTTAAAATGATCAATTGAAAAAATCAACCATATTATAAGAGTATAGCTCTATAGATTAAAAACAATGATAATCCACGTCTGTACATTTTATGTAATTAAAATAATGTCTTAGCATATCTTCAACTTTTAAGATAAATAAAAAAAAAATTATATGGAATATCAACCCAAATATAATAAAATTCATATTTATATATTATCTTAATATTAATTGTAAATTATAATGATAAAGTTTTTAGAATTATGATGGATTCTGAAATTTTGAAATTTGATCTTTTGGAGAGATATTTGAATTTCGAATATCAAAAAAAAAATATTCGGACATCAGAATCTGAATTTTCCAACAAATAAAAGTAACTTCTAAATTTTAAATGTTATGTGATATTTTATTATTTTAAAAATTAAAACAATTTAAAATTTAAAACCATAAGATTTTAAAATTCCTAAAAATTACCAAAAATTAGTTTATAATTATACAGATTATCTTCAAATTTTGACTATAAAACCATAAAATCTGAATCGAAATATAAACTTAAGATATCAATAGTATCAATTTACGAATTCAAACTAGAATTTGAATCACTCCACTACCTGAAAACCATCCAAATAGAGCATCGGTAGTTAGATGAAGCCGGTGGGGACATTCTTCTTGAAGACAGTACCCTTTTTTTGTAATTTTTTATTTTATATACTGAACGTTAGTTGAGCAGTGGCAATTTTGTTAATATGGATATACATCTTGGGCGAAACGGTAAATTGGACATTCGTTTAGTCTCAAAGGGAATTCATTGATATTAATAGCCGTTGTTTTGCCACATGCCCATCAACGTCATCCATAGCCATGCTTCGATCTAAATTAAAACCACCACAAGAAAATTTAATAAACTAATATAACTTCACTTCATAAACTTTTGTTTTCTTAATTATCTCAATACAATTCTTTTTATTTCTCAAACCTCAATTAATATCCTTTTTATTCTATAAATATTCAAATTCATTTAGTATGTGCGGCTAAAAATCTCTTTGTCGCAATTTACATTACTCTATTATGCGTCCCCGTCTTTTACATTACTCTATTTTGTAACCTTTATGTTTTTTAATTTATTGTTTTAAGAAAAAAATACCTAAAAATTCTTAAACTTTTAATTTGGTATAATATTAATTCACGAATTTGTAGGTGCATCTATTTACTCTCGAACTTGCGTTAACAGTAATTTCTAAATTTGCTTAATAGTTTCATACTCGTACATACCATTAATTAACCAAAGCAAAGTTTAACAATTATAATATTTAAAAATACAAGTTTAAGAATTATTGTATTCAAAAATACAAATTCAAGAATTATTGTATTCAAAAATGCAAGTTAAGAAATAAATATACGCACCTACAAATTCAGAAATTAATATTACACCAAATTACAAGTATCTTTTGCTTGTTTTAAATAATCTTATGAATCGTAAAGCCTATTATAAACCTCGAATGATATTTTATATGGTTGTTTAGACTTCGTTTCTGGATTCATGTTAACTCAGAAAATAAATAATATATTCATCATGATATTTGCAATTTATCTTTATTTTTCTCGTATTTTACAAGTTTTGAGAGAGAGAAAAGTCAATAGGTTTGTTGTTGAGTTTTTCTTTTACCCAAAATTTGAATTTTTTTTAATTATAAGATATAGATTATGTGAATTGAATCTCACACCTCTACAAAGTGAATGACGTGGAAGCAATGCATATAGAAAAGTTAAGAGATAAAGTGGTCTTTATTAGTATATTAGATTTCATTTGAAATTTGAAGGATAAAGTCAAGAATACATTCTCTCTAATCATTATATATTACTTATTTTCGGAGTATTGTGCCCAATAAAATTTTAATTTTTCATAAAAAAAATTAAAATTGATATTAATATTTTTTTTAGTTTGTCTATCAAATATGAATATCTTTGCCCACATCTCCTTAACATTGGTGTTCCTAGTAAATCACATTATAGACATATTTCAAAATCTGAATAGTAGTATAGTATGTTTGTAGAATAATTATTTTTTTGGCAATATTTTTTTAGTAATTTATTCTACGTTTTACATTTTAATTATTTTTTTATATTTTATATATATATATATATGAAATTTTAAAAGTTAGGTTCTCTTAGAAAGGCAAACAAAAAAAAAAGAGTAGTAAATTGATGCATTATTGAGAAAGGAAGGCAAAAAAAATAAAGGCAAATTGGGGGGGGGGGACAGAAAAAATATAATCACTGGTCAATTGCTAACTGCATAGTTGACCGGCACTATTAATGAACCGGTGAATTCTGTCAATGAATCAATCCCAATTTCTAAACCGGAAAAACCTATCCGGTTATTATGTGGGTCACTCTCTGTAGTCTTCCTTTTTCTACATGGAGAAACATATTGTTCCTGTTAAATTGATTGGACTCTGTTCTCTTAGTTGTCTTCTCCGACCAGCGTCGCTAAAACCCTAGAACTCCAAAAACCTCAACAGCTCAGCGCGGTTCAGAGGAGATCCACTTGTCCCTTCCAAAACCCTGGGCCTCGTGTCCGTTGAGCAATGGAGGATCATGTCCTTTCTTCGGTTCACTCCACGGTCTTCAAGGAATCTGAATCTTTGGAAGGAAAGTGCGTTAAGATCGAAGGATACGATTTCAACCAGGGAGTGAACTATCCTAGGCTTCTTAGATCCATGCTCACCACCGGATTCCAAGCCTCCAATCTCGGCGAGGCCATTGATGTCGTCAATCAGATGGTTTGTTCCTTTAATCTCGAACTAAACCCTTTTGTCGTTCGTGGTCTTTCCCTTGTCCGAATCCTGTCTCGTGTTGTAAATTTGATTCCTTTTGTTGTTGGGTACGCTCTAGTGATTTGTCCGATGGTGTTGGTAACATGGGTTTTGTGGTTCAATTGAAGCTAGATTGGAGACTTGCCAATGAAAGTATAGCTGAAGACTGTAGTGAAGAGGAGAAGGACCCGACCTACAGGAATTCTGTGAGGTGTAAGATATTTCTGGGTTTCACTTCAAATCTTGTGTCATCTGGCGTTAGAGACACAATTCGGTATCTTTCTCAGCATCATATGGTTAGTGGATGTTTAAACCCTTCTTTTATCCTGTTTTCAATTTTCTGATGCAAATTATGCATACTAGGTTGATAATTTGGCTCCTATTTGATCGTCCGGCCTGTTAATTGCTTGAAAGTTTCCATCTTTAATCCGAATTGCCATCTTTTCTTGATATTTCCTTGGGAACTGATGTTATTAGCTTAGGAAAAGATTTGGGATTTGTGGTGTTAGGCCTCTATGTCCATGGAATGAACGGTTCTTTAGGAGTGTTTTTGATTTGGATATGCTTCTCTTCAGGTTGATGTTATAGTCACCACGACTGGTGGCATAGAGGAGGATCTCATAAAATGCCTTGCACCTACATATAAAGGCGATTTTTCACTATCGGGAGCTTATCTGCGATCAAAGGGATTGAACCGCATTGGCAATTTACTGGTTCCAAATGATAACTACTGCAAATTTGAGGATTGGATAATCCCTATCTTTGACCAGATGTTGAAGGAACAGAAAGAACATGTATCCCCTTTCCTTTTTCTTTTTTTAATTCGATGAATCTGTTGTGAATTCTGTCATGTATATCAGTGATCCATGTGAATTTTTGTTTTCAAGTGTTAGTATTCATATTCATAAGCTTCTGTTATCAGGGCAATGTTTGCAATTCAGAGCACTTAGCTCATTTGATTGTTTCTTTTTGTATGTTACAGAATGTGCTGTGGACACCGTCTAAGCTGTTAGCTCGCTTGGGAAAGGAAATAAACGACGGGAGCTCGTACCTTTATTGGGCATACAAGGTAAATTAACTCCATTTTCTGTTGCTTTTTCAGCATAGATATAAAGTCTTTGAACTGAAATCTTTACTCACTCCTCTTGTCCTTTTAGAACAACATTCCAGTTTTCTGTCCTGGCTTAACCGATGGCTCTCTTGGTGATATGCTGTACTTCCATTCATTTCGTACTTCTGGCCTCATCATCGACGTAGTCCAAGGTACTTCCTTTCCCCCCGGGGAATCACACACCTTCCAACTAACGATAAGCTTTTAATACACGATCACATATATAAATCGAATGATTCTTGAACAGATATCAGAGCTATGAACGGGGAAGCTGTCCATGCAAGTCCAAGAAAGACGGGGATGATAATTCTTGGAGGGGGTTTGCCAAAGCACCATATATGCAACGCCAATATGATGCGTAATGGTGCGGACTACGCCGTGTTTATAAACACCGCACAAGAATTTGACGGGAGCGACTCGGGTGCCCGTCCAGACGAGGCCGTGTCTTGGGGTAAAATCAGAGGCTCTGCGAAAACCGTTAAGGTCTCCTACCTGAAACTATCTTTCTTCATGATGGATCTTTCAAGAGCTTTTTTTTTTCTCTCTGAATCTGCATACCGATTTTTTTTTCGTGTTGGATCGCTGGTTCTGTCAGGTACACTGCGATGCCACCATTGCCTTCCCTCTGCTGGTTGCAGAGACGTTCGCCTCGAAGAGACATCCTACCATGGAGACCAATGCTTGAGGAACATCTCTTTTTTTCGTTTGTCACTTTGATTCTTAGGATAATGTATACATATCCGGATTCTCCTCTGTTTTGTCCTAGAGGAAACACCATAAATTCTCAGCAAGAGGAGAGTGTTCTTGCAGGAATCAGTATGATTCTTTTGGTGATTGAATTGGAATATATAATCTCTAACAGAGTTTTGATTTTATTTAACATTAGAGATTAGAACATATTGCTATAGTTTTATTCATGCATTAATATAAAAAAAAATTGCATAAGCAATCTTACATGGGAGCTCTCGACGAAGACAGAGATTACATAAAAAAAACTTGGAAAAGTCTCACCGACCTGACCAAACAAAGAACTAATCAACCGGGAACCGAGCAACTGGAACAAGACGAAGAGGGTATTTCCTGGAGACAACGAACTGAAATGTCTCGTCCATGCTCAAATCTTGAGGCTTTGACCCTTTAGGCATCTCCCAGTCGTACCAATACAACAGGTTGGCCATCGAGTCCTCGAGCAAGGCGACGCCCAGCGACATCCCCGGGCAGTTCCTGCGTCCAAACCCGAACGGAATGAACCCCTTGTGGTTTCCCATGTAATCTATCTTTGTCCCCTCGAACCTTTCGGGCACAAACTCTTTCGGTTTCTCCCAGATCTTGGGGTCGGACTGGATAGCGTGCGCATTAACGAGGACCTTCGTCTTCGCGGGGATTTCATAGCCGTATATCTTCACGTCTTCGGCGATTTCCCGAGGAATGATGCCCGGAGGGTGAAGCCTGGTTGTCTCCTTGATCACACATTTCAAGTAATGCATCTGATCTACGTCGTTGCTCGTTATCTTCGTCTTGTTTCCGACGATACCTCTTACCTCTTCTTGCACTTTCCTCATCGCTTCGGGGTGCCTTATCAGTTCGGACATTATCCAGTCTAACTCCAATGCCACCGATTCCACCGCCGCAACGTATATTCCCTGCAAAAGGATTCACAAAATCGAATCAAACCCATAACCAAAAAGCTTTTTTCCGGGTACCCGATCTCGGTCTGGTATCGGGGTTTATTACCTGTGCGATTGCTTTGATGTCCTTGAGGTATTCGAGTTTTTGTTCCTCCTCGAGATGGAAAAGGCCGTCCAGGTAGCCTTGCTGTCCACGGCTCTCGCTGATCATATGTTCCATGAAAACATCCAACTCTGCGTAGATTCTCTTCAGGTTCGACGTGTAACCCGTGAGTCTGTCCATCCAGGCGAAGCTCGGGTACAGATCCCCGAAGCAGAACGCTCCCATGAGCTTCTTGAACTTGAGATCCCACTCTCCGAAGCTCATCCCTTTCACCTCCTCGTATCTCCGGCCCGTGAAAGATCTGTACACGACGTTGTTCACGAGGGAGAGGAACACGTCTGACAGGTCGAGATCGGACCTTTTGAGGGCTGAACTCTGGATCGTTTTCAGCATGTCGGAGATCTCCTCGTCTCTTATTGCGCTCTGGAACCCGTAGACGACGTTCTTGCTCAGCAGATGAAGCGCGGAGACTTTCCTCACTTGCTTCCAGTGGTCTCCGTAGGGGGAGTACACCATGTCCAGACCAGACCCTTTGAGGGGAGTGAGAGATGTGTTCGGCGGCCTGTTCGAGAAACTGGTGTCGTGGTTCTTGGTGATCTCGTCAATGGCGTCGGCGGAGGAGACCACGAGATAGCGAGTGCTTCCGAAGTGGACGAACATCAGAGGACCGAGCTTCGAAGCCATCGCTTCGAGGGTTTTGTGGGGGAGATCTCCGATCTGATGAAGGTTTCCGATGATCGGAAGCTTTCTGGGCGACGGCGGAAGATTCTTCCCGCGAGATTTCACGTGTTTGATCAGAATGACGAAACACAGGATCGGGAACACCGCGAGAACAGAAACGAGGAGAGGGTTCGAAGAATTCATCGTTTTCTCCATCATTCTTCCTGTTTGTTTCTTCTGGTGGGTGGTTCTTCCCTTAGTCACTTGCTCTTGCTTTGCTTTTGATCCGAGAGAGTTCATATATAAGATTTAAAAGAGGTTTATGTTAAGTTTTCTTCAACGCCTCGGTCAAAGAAGTGCAGCAACGGTCAAGTCCCGTCGGATCGGCTTGTTTGACCAAATAAAATAAAAAAAAAAGTTACGCAAATATTATGCAACTTGTAAAAAATTAAATAAAAAATTGAAAAACTTAATACAGTGGAATTTTCTTAATGATCCACAAAATACCAAAATGGTGTCTGCCAATTTCGACCGCCCTTCCTGCTGTGACGTATATAAATATTTAAAAACTTTGTCCACCAATCGCTACAAATTAAAAAAACATTAGTCAAAATATAGCTCTTGCGCGCAATATTTATGGGAAAAAAGGCCACCATGCCATGCATGTGTAAACCTAAAATTTTACAAAAATTTTAAATAAATATTTCAACTATAAAAATTTTATATAAATATCCGAATTTTTTAAAATTTTATATAAATACCTATATTTTTTAAAAAAATCAAATAAACATAAAATTTAGATATTTTTTAAATATAAATGATCGAAGTTATTAATGGATTTTAGGTTTATTTGGAAAAAAATTTAAAAATTTAAATATTTATATAAAATTTTTTAAAACAAATCATATATTTATATAGATTTTTTATAGTTTAAATATTTATTTATAAATTTTATAAAAGTTTAGGTATTTATGTGATTTCTCCTCTAGATTATTATTGTTGATTTTGAGGTCGGAACAAATTATATATGGATCGGAATTTCTTAGAACAACTTGATTTTTCGTCTATCCATCGTTAAATCTTAATAACATTGATTTTTAGTGGTTCCGTTTTCCACAAACTCGCTTAGTTTTTTTTTATGTTAAATAATTTAAAAATGATGAAGGTATAAATCTTCTAATTATAAAGCTATACATATATATGTATGTATGGACCGTGCGATTATATATAATACGTTTATGGATTAGCTGTAGACTAGAGTTTGATACCAAACCATACGAGATTGGGGAAAAACTCCACGTGACATATACTGTGTGTGGGTTGGTCGATTCGACCTACCAAAACATAAGAAATGAATAAAAAAAAGGAAACATACATGAAATGAATCACACTTACGTTTTTCAATATTAGTAAAACTGTATCTTATTTTAAAAAATTATTAAAATTATTTTTTTATAAGTTTAAAGTTATGTTACGTTATAAATTAACTTAGGATCTAGTTTAATTTTTTCCTATTTGAAATATAAGTTTCAAATTATACCGAATTCAATATATATATATATATATATAATATTATATAGAAGTAGAAAAACTCATAAAATTTCAAATTGTATCGAATTCTATATAGGAAAATTATCGGGAAAATATTATAAAAGAAAAATCAATTTATCGATAATTTAGAAAAACCCTTAACTTATATATAAACATAGATAAATACAAATGTACACTACTATTTCATATAAAATTGTATTTAATATCTATATCAATATAAGTTTTTTAAAACTAAGTTAAACAAATTTAAATTAAATTGAATCACATATAAAATATTAAAAATTAATATTTTAGTAATAAAAATTACAACCAAACGGAGTTTAAAACGTTTATCTATGTTTATATATAAGTTAAGGGTTTTTCTAAATTATCGATAAATTGATTTTTCTTTTATAATATTTTTCCCGATAATTTTCCTATATAGAATTCGATATAATTTGAAATTTTCCAAATTGAAATCAAATTTGAAAGTTAATCGAAAAGACGGATGAACAAAATTTTTACAAGATAAAAAAAAAATCCGAAAACAAAATGATCCAAAAGATATAAACCCGAAATGGCCCAAATAGTATGGTGGCCGTGGCCCGTGGATAAAAAGGTGGTGGGTGCTTTGTTGATGGCATTTTAATAATTTAGTAATTGAATGTGATAAAAATCCCATTTGGGGATTAGGGTTCTTTCTCGGTTTCTTCTTGCGGACAACATATGGTAGTTGTGGTAAGTTCCGACGACTATTTCAGGTAATTATATCAGAAATTTACCGACTTTGTTCCGATTATTGCGTGTAAACTCGAAGCTGCGATTTTTTTATTAAACCAGTAACAAAGCATTCAATTTTGCACCGGAAAACGCCTTGATCATGCGTATGATCATTAGTAATTTTTAAACAGTTTCATCTTTTGTCTAATCTCGATTTCTACCATTACTAACTTGAATTTGATATTGGTCAGCCCCGACCTAACCCTAATCCCAATTCTAGCCGAATTCGACAACGGGTATCATGGGCACGAATTCTCTCCGACCAATACCTAAATCGTCGGCAGATGAATACCCGACTCTACGGATCATATTTGTTATCCGATTTCGGATTCGGGTATATGTTAGCCCTATGAGCCAGTAAATGTTTAAGGTGAAAGATTATTGGAACTTGAGTACAAAAGACAGAGTGCATGATGGATTTTCTTCAGAGAAAGAGTACAATGAGTTTAAGGTAACATCACGAAACGACACAATTAGATTCACTCTTCGAAGGCTATAAAGACAGAATATGTTCAACTAGATTCTCTAGAGATCGATACGAAGAGCCTCCGGGTTCGATCGATTCCGCCACTCGGGTCTTGAGTTGTTTCGCCCTTTCGCGGATTTCTCTTCCCTCGAGCTCAACCATCAGCCTTCGCACCGCTGTCTGGATCTCGTTTCTCTCGACTCGACCCTCCAAATGCAACCCGACCCCCCAGAGTTGGCTCACGAGCCTTGCGTTTAGCATTTGGTCCCAACCTCCGGGCAAGCATATCATTGGGACACCTTCGCATATGCTCTCCAATGTCGAGTTCAGACCGTTGTGCGTTAAGAACCCACCAGTGGCTCGATGGGCAAGAACGTTTTGTTGTGGTGACCATTTCACTATCTTCCCCTTCCCTTTGAGATTCTCCACCA